TCTTTTATTCCAAATAACTCTTCAAGAGTTTTGATGATGTTCAAAAACATCATGCTTATAAGTTCTCGGGAATATAACTATGATATCATATATCGTTTAGGGATTAATTAGTCCTACAGACATCCCATGAGGCTCAATTCAAGTCATTTATTCATCAACTCAATATCGAGTGATTTTGAAAAACACGGCGCGACACACCGTCTTGTCTTAAGTATCATAATACTCTTTTGATGCTTGGACCATGTGTCCAGGAAGTACTCGTTTCTTATACGAGATTAATATAGACGTGGTTGCGTCTTTGTTTATTGGCCAATATATATCTATTTACGCTCACAGAGCAGAGATTAATGATCCTCATTTGTGCACTAGATTATTTTTATTGTCGACATTATGTTGTCTTTGGTTCCATATTTGCCGTAATGACATGGTTAATCGAGATCCCTTAATCATTATAAATAATTTTATTCAGGTACCTGATATCATTTTTAACCATGCCATTCGGTCTTTGTACTTCTCTTTAGGAGTCTCTTTGCTCCTCTTGAGAAGTTTCTATGCTCCTCTTTAGAAGTCTATATGCTCCTCTTTTTAAGAGTTTAATCCTCTTTTTAGTAATAATATGTTCTTTTTTATTTTCGAGGATTTTCTTTATATTTGGAACCAAAGTTGTCTATCACGTTTTTTTAACGTGTTATAGACAATAATATGTCATCCGCCAGAGACATATTTTTGTAGAGCATTTTTAGCTGGGAAAAGAGATTTCGTATGAACTTAAAGTTCATATGCATTTATACGAGGATCAATAATTTCATGAAATCTCATCCATCAGCTTTTTGCATTAGATTTGCAATATACTCTGAATAGTGATTCTTTTGAACTTTTGAACTCTAAAGTTCATATTTATTATATTCATTTGTTCAAAGATCTAAACTATTCAATGGTTCTCCCATGATGGAGAATTTTATCATCAACATGATGATTTGCAAATCTTGCAATAGGCACATCTCTCATAAGATGGCTCAGTATTTGTAGAGCAGAGACTCATCTCCTGCATATATATATTTCATCCTTTTAGGACGTCAATTTTTATGCGGTGCAGAGGAGCATTTATAACATATATCTCACACCCATAAAATTTAAAAATGAGAAATATTTGATCTCCAATCATGTATATAAAACATGGAGAAATATTTCTTATAAATCGTTGGCCTTGTATATAATCATTAATACATGCAAAACTGCATGCTCCATGTAAAAACATAGAGATTAAATCACCATGAATCCTTTTGCAATCTCTTGGACTTTCGCTATGAACGATTCGCTTAAAGCTTATTTTGAGAGTGAACATCATCCTTATCTAATAATTCACAAGTCACTTCTCTATTAACTGCAACTCTCTCCATTTGACACCTGGCTTAAGTCCCAAAATTTCACCTTTCACTTTAAAAAAAAAAAATAAACTTTGCTTTTAAATAGAAAAAAAAAAAGAATTTACGACATAATTTTTTTGACAAAAAAATAAATATCAACTGCTCTTTTCCACGATCTTAAGATTCTTTTCCTTTTCTCTCCCCAATTACGATCTCAGTGGCAACCGTATAAACCATTATGTAAAAACATATGTAATAACTTCTTCTTCTTCTCCTCTCTTTTCTCATAACCTTAGATCCTCCATTCTTTCTTCTAAATAGTATAACAGAGAATCGAAAGGATGACGTAAACAATGAAAGTTGAGACTTTTGTGATGCCTAATGTGATGGACGATGTTAACTTCCTACAACGTACTACGTTCGGTCCACCTAATCGCTGGTATGCATATCATTAAATCTTTGGCTTTGGTTTCCAGATTTGTTGCGTTTTACTTGGTCTATCTTCTTACACTTTCTATGCACACCAGCTGCTCGACAAAATGACCACACGAGTTTGCAAAAATCGTATAGAAACAAAATGGATGCAGCTTGAATCAATTGTATGAACGTGGAATTCTGCCAACAATTTTGTATAGAGAAGCAACAAAAAAGCAAATGTTTTGGGGCTTTCAATTCAAAAGAAGAAGAAGAAAAAAATTATTTGAGAGATGGGTGGCATGACATGACATCTTCTTCCACAGTGTAGTGTGCAAAAGAATTTAAATGTGAAACCATCTTATATGTTCAAGTTTCAAAAGCGTTTTGATACGAAGGTAATTCATTTTTCCATCATTACTATTGTTAGGTTTGGAGAAAAAAAATGGTTCCGTATAGCTTTTCTTCCTCATCTATTCCTTCTCTTTTTTACTGTATATTTGGCTGTTTCAAAATACAATGAAAATTTCCTTAATTTTTGCACCTATAGATCACGATTTGGGTGAAGTTGAGGAGGATTCCTATTGAGAGTTACAGAGCAATTTGTAATATATTCAATCAATGTATTAAGATAAAATAAAACTAAATAAATTGTATTTTGTGACATTCTTCATTGGTATAATGGTTGTAAATTTTAAAAAAAAAAAAACAAAATATACTATTGGTATTGTTGTGGCTGGTACTAGTTTTTAGATGTTCTGCTTTATCAAAAAGCGATAAATTTTAGGATATGACTTCACCAGAGTTATCTCGTTATGGGGTGTCAAATTTATCGACTTATTGTCGATGTGGGATTCCTTTAATTCTCCCCCTCGAGATGATAACTCTGCGAGTTCATTCATCTCGAACTGAATCCCACTTTAGGATCAATAACATATCCAATATGGATCATGTATTTATTCTTAGATCCTTATAAAAATGTGGGACTTGTAATACCCCTTCTCAAGATGATGGCTTTTAAGCCTATTTATCTTGGACCGAATCTTATTTTTTAGATCGGTTATATTCGGACCTTAATTTGGGGATTATTAGGAAATCAACCAGCATATACAATGAGCTTATTAAATAAATAAAAAAAAATGGTGATTTGGCCAAAAATTATATGATTCTGGAGGCATAGCCTACTACGGAAATAAACTGAAATAAATTCAATATAAATTAAATGTTACCTCAGAATTGTGGACAGAAGCATGCAGTGCTTGAATAGACTTCTCTTTCTTTACATAAAATTTTAGTGATATTTAATCACATTTTTTAATTTCCAATTTAGGTCATCAACATATACAGCAAAGATCACAAATCTCGATGGAGATTTCTTAATAAAGACGCAAGGGCATATTTTATTTAATATACCCTTTATTTAACAAATAATCGCTAAAGCGATTATACCACATGCGTCTCGATTATTTTAATCCTTAAAGTGATCGCTGTAGTTTGACCGTACATATTTCATTAGACTTTGAGTCTAATGCCTCTGGAACTTTAAATCCTTTTAGGATTTTCATGTATGTATCATAATCCAAAGATCCATATATATATATGTAGTCACTACATCCTTAAGGTACATTTCTAAATTATAAGAGACCGTTAGGCTCCTTAAGTACCTGAATGTAATTGTATTCATGACCGGAGAATATTTTTTTTTTTCTTCATAATTAACTCCAGGTCTTTAAGAGAAAAACCTTGTGTAACAAGTCGGGTTTTATATCGTGTGATTTTATCTTTTTTGACACGAAGACCCACTTGCACGCAACAAGTTTTAATCTTTAGATGTAGTGACAAGAGGTCCAAATACATCTCTTTGATTAAGGAAGAGCAATTCAATATATTGCACTTTTTTTTTAATCAGGCCCTTGTTAGCACTGATATGGATCCTGAATCTGGATCATTATTATCAAATGTATTTTTCTACCGGGATAGCTTGACCGGTTATGCTATGCCTAAAGCATTAGTAAACTAAGTTTACTATTATAAATAATTTTGCTATCTTTATTTTGCATGATATAATCATACATATGTGTGTCTCCATTGTGGTCAAACATTCGATACCACATTTATTTATAGTCTCAATATAATAATTATAAATAAAAATATCTTTGAAACTACACGAGTTTCTTTGATACTTTGGAGAACACGAAGCATCGATTATTATGAATCTGATGCATTTGGAAGTCGAGATGCTATCTCATCTAGACCTTCCAATTATTTTGCACTGTCTAAAAATATATTGACACGTGCTTCATATATTCTCATAGGAGAAATATATTTTTGATTTTAAGGACATATTTCAATGTCTTTAAATCTCATATAACACATACATTCTTTACGAATAAAATAAATAAAAATAAATGAACACATAAATTCATAAAATTAATAATATAGAGACCAAAGCTTTTTTATACAAGAATTCAGGAGGCATCGCCTTCCATTAAGAATTCAATAGGCATAGATTTTGTTTGATCATAGAGAAGGAGGCAGAGCCTACCATATATATTGATCAATCCGGAAAAAATATAAATTTTTATTTGATCGTTAGGAAGGTAAAACCTACCATATATGACGATCGATCCGGAAAAAGCATAGCCATTTATTTGATCGTAAAGGAGGCATAGCCTACCATATATAACGATTTATCCGGAAAAGACGTAGCTTTTTATTTGATCGTAAAGAAGGCAGAGTCTACCATTTATAACGATCAAACTGGAAAAAGACATAGTCTTATGATGTTTAAAATAATTATGTTCTATAAACATAAATAAATTCAAATAACAGAAATTGTAACTTACCTCATAATTAATCGCTCAAACGGTAAAGACATCGTGCTGATAACGTGTTATAAATCATAACGTAAAGAAATATAATATTATTATATTATATACATAAATGACTTTGTATAAGAGAAGTGGACGAGAGTAATTGAGAGAGAACATAACACTTCTCTTCTTTCTTGTCTTCGTATATAACTTGAGGCCCACGTAACTTAAAGAAGAAGTAAAGGCTAGAGATAAACTTTACTAATAGATAATCACTATCCATTTCTAACACAAACAATATTAACATACTAGTATTAAGCCCGTACATTCGTACGGGCGAAATTTATTTGATGATAAATAACTGTTGTTTCCGTTTTCAAACGTAAGTGTGGGTTAGTCACATTAATACATATATGATCAAAATTTAACATTAAAGAGATTGAAGGAAATTATTCAACGTACAATTTCAATAACTAATAACTTCTCAACAATGATCAACCTCAATCGTACTGAACGCTAATTAAAAAATTATGTGATACCAAACATTCAATGGTCCTATCACAAGAATCAACAATGGCCTATAAGTTTTAAATCACCACAATGCTTTTCAGAATGCCGTAGATATGTATCGACGTTAGCTTTTTGTTGTACGTGGTGAAACGCCACCCTTAGCGAGTTTCTAATTAGAGATGTGGTGGCGAAACAATTTGAGATCTTATGGTCAGTCGGGAGATTCAGTGGCTTGATACACATGTTTGAGAACCTTGTTTTCAACTATCACTTTCTCCGGGAGCTCTTATGTCTAACTTGTTGCTGCCCAAAAAAAACCGAAGTTCAGAAAACCAGAGAACCGATAGTGAGATATACAAATGAAAAGAGAGATATCCTTTTCCAACAGAGAACAGAGATATTTGGTCGAGTAATCTACAAAAGGGATGTATAAAACAAAGAGAAGTAAATCAGAAAAAATTGTGGTTCAGAGAATCTAACTACAGATCGAGTAATTATTGCTGCTTTTTACGTTCGTTATGAATAATGTTTTGAACATGGGGTCACTTATAACAAAAAAGCAGTAATCGACATATCTAGTAAAATCAAACTATTTATATATAAATAGATAAAAATCAAAACAGAGAGAAAAGCAATATGTTGATTACATGTTCGTCTAAAAAAAATTCAGATTTTATGGTGATTTGGATTATTGGGATCACCTTATGAGAGGAGGAGGAAGACGACCAGAGGTGGAAAGTTGGAATGAATGAACTGTGAGGATGAAATAAGAATTTGGTGTTAAGGGATCATGTTCGGCTGTCGAGCAGGAAAGACAGTTCTATAATAGTAACAATAATTTTTTATGGTGATTTGGATAAAGTGAAGGGAGAAACAATTGTGATAATCGATTGTGTCATTGTGTGATATATATACATGGTGATTTGATGAAACTGATGAGAGTAGGAAGTTAAATTTGGGGATCGTGGAATGCAAAGAGGAGATCGTGGGATTTTGTTTCCCAATTTAAAAGAAAGAAATTGGTCTCGACAAAGGTAAGAAAACAATAGTGAAACAAATAAAGAGTGAGATCGTGCCTTTTTTATTGACTTGAGGAAAATGAAAAAAAGAAAAATATTAATTAATTAATTAATTTTCTGTAGAGTTTTGATCTTAAAAGTGAAAGAATTGGGATTTATGACAGATGTCAGATAGAGAGAGTTGCAGTTAATTATAAAATGACTTGTGAATTATTAGATAAGGATATATTTAAACGTTGATTTTATTTAGCTCAAACAATATTAACATATATTTAAACATAAGAACAACAAGCACTAGTGGTCCAGTGGTATAGTAACCTGCCAGTGACCCGGGTTCGATACCCGACTGGTGCAATTGAGCTGTGATGAAATTGGCTTCAGCGTTGGTTGGGTCCTTCGCATTCTTCTGATTTCGCAGATGCAATCGCCTCACTCCTGAGCTCTCTTTTTTTTTTTTGTCATTATTTCATGTGAAATATCCAAATTCCATAAAACTCGTCAAATTCAAAAAATAGTCCCCGAAACAAGGTGCGCATGAACACATAGTTGCCGGAATTCAGGATAATCAAAAAGTCAATAATACCCCTAATCCAGTTTGTTCTCATGTAGACACAATGGTAATTTCGCCAACCAAGAGAACATTAAGCTTGAGGAAAACCAGTGGGAGAGAGCATCTGGTTTTGACTTTAACTAGCGGCTACTTTCTCTTAGTATTATATAACAAGACCCATCAGATTCTCATCTTCTTCATCAACAATTTTCACAAACACAAATTCACAATCAACAAAACAAAACAAAAAAAAACAAAGAGTTTCTCCGAATTTTTTCCTAATTAAAAAAGATGAGTTCAACAAGCAAAGCATGGTTAGTAGCTGCAAGCATCGGAGCCGTTGAAGCGTCCAAGGACCAATTAGGCATGTGTCGCTGGAACTACTTGATCCGATCAGTGAATCAACGTATCCGTAACAACGTGAGATCCGCTTCTCAGGCCAACAGATTCTCTTCTTCAACCGTCGTCGCGTCCGTTAAGGACGATAACAAGGCAAAGCAGGCTGAGGAGTCACTTAGGACGGTCATGTACTTGAGCTGTTGGGGTCCTAACAAAATGGATAATCGACCTTAACTAATTGTTTTTGGGATGCATTTGTAGTATAATGATGATACTTCGTACATGATGTATATAGATAATGAATTTTGGGATGCAATAAAAAATTTTGTTGTCGCAAAAAAATTGATCTTGTATTAAGTATTAACAAATCCCATAATCAACATTCAACAAGTAGCATCGGTGACCAGAAAATAAAATAAACTCACAACTGAAAAAAATGAAGTTACTTAAATGGGCCAAGCCCAGTGGATAGATAGTTTCTAATGGGCCGGTTGAGACTACGAGAGACGTCATCATCGAAACCAATCCCGTCGCGGTGGTTCTTCTGCCATGGCGATCATGGCCGTTGCCGCTCTCTTTCACGCCCGCTTCCCTCTTCTCCTCCGTCACAGTGTCCCGTCCACGTTTTCTCTGTCTTCTGTCATATACTATCGCAGGACTGTTCCATCCAACGGACTCAGTACCCGATTCTGCTCGATTCTCCGTTATTCATCGTCCGTCGACGGCGGTGGAAGTAGCAGTGGCGATTCCGGTAGCTTTAGCGATTCCGTTAGCGTTGTTGCGGATGTTCAGAGTCCTAATTACTTGAAATTCACCGATGATGAATTGATGAAGCAATGTAGATTAGAGACATTCAGAGTTTCAGGACCTGGAGGACAACACCGGAACAAGCGTGACTCCGCCGTTCGTCTCAAACATCTCCCCACCGGAATCGTAGCTCAGGCCGTCGAGGATCGTTCACAGCACAAGAACCGTGCTTCTGCTCTGAACCGTCTTCGTACGCTCCTGGCAATCAAAGGTCTCAATCCCTTCTCTCTCAATTTCGTTCTTTGAACTTTGAAATTCTCAGTTTGGTTCTAATTTTGCGTTTTCCAGTGAGGAACAAAGTGGACCTTGAAGCTTATGCTCCTCCTCCAGAGCTTCTTCAGATTCTACCTCCCAAGTCTACTATAAGAACTTCTTCTGGTTCACAGATTGGTCCCAACAATCCTAAATTTGTACCTGTATGATGACTCTCTTTCTCTCTTTAGCTCTTTCTCTTATCTGTCCATTTACTCACTTGTTGCCTACAGGGAATGCAAGCTTTGCTTGATGTTATTTCTGCTTCTGACGGTTCTATCGCCGATTCTGCCAAATTACTTGGGTAACTAATCCTTCTTGAACCTGTAAAATTCATTGAAGTCCAGTGTACTGTCTTTGTCTAACTTTGAGTCATCTTACTATTTGATTTTTGCAGTTTGAGCACTGGTGGCTTATCTCGTTTGATACTCTCCCATGATGGTCTTCGTATGGCTGTCAATAGCATGAGGGCAGCCAAGGTAATGTTTGTTATTTACCAATCCAAATACTTTGTTATCAGGATTATGCCAATAGGGTAGTCGTAGTAGCGCAAAGTGTTTCTCTTTCTTCATTGAAAGGTCCTACTTTTTAAATTCTTTAGACTTATATCTTGGGATGAAGCAGTCTGAAAATATGTTTATACAGTTACTTAGCTATTACTAGTCGGTGGTTGCAGTATTGTTTTATAATTTTCAGTAGCTGTTGCTTAGTTTGGTATATCATCACTGTTAGAACTTTCAACTTGCTTACTAGTTTCTAAAGTGAAGAACATTTTTCTCTGATCTTTCAGGGAATTAAGCCTCTCAAATAGTTAGGATGTATCGGCATTTGAAATATGACGTGCGGGTCTTTGACGAGTTGTATTTAGGTGGCTTCTGCAGCACAGTGACTACCATTTGATGCACCACATATTGTATACAAAACAAAGGTGAAATGTTGAGTTCAGTCTAACATTTGTTCTTCTAACATCATAAAAATAGTCACGTGTTTGAGATGATATACTATAGTCTGTTCAAATGTTTATGGTAATTTGTCGTCCCCTTTTTTTGTGATTGTGTTGGAGCCATGTTGGATTAGATTTACTCTTTTTTTGCTTTTTTCTTGTTTTTTCTCTTCATTCAAGGAAGTAAAATTCGCTGGTAGTATAAGTGGAAGTGGCAATCTGGTGTGTACTTGCATTTCAGAGCTTCATGGTTGTCTATAAGGTCTTGTACTTTACACAATGAAGCACATGCAAGTTTCGTTTTCTATGAATAGTTACTTGCAGTGATGTTATCTCCCTTTTGAAGATATGAAAGTTACTTTGTGATACAGCGATGTAGAGTTGGCTCTTGTTTAAGAAACAAGTATGCATCTGTTTCTTTTCTTTTCTGATATAAGCTACAGTGAGTTTACTTACACGTATACAACACGCTTAACATTTCGGTCAATAAAATGAAGAAAAAAAAGGTCACTGCCTGCAGGAATGTCCTCAGGTATATTGGACATTGAAAATAGCAAAAGAGTTTGATGCATGAGAATCAGATTCTTGTAGAATGAGGTTCTCTTCTTCCCCACACAGGAAAAGAAATAACTTTTATGGAGTTGACTCTTGAGAAATGTTGTTTATTCATTTTTATCTAGAAAACAACAGGATCTAGAGCCTCATGGGTGCATTCTGACTCACTCCTTATATATTTTAAACATGGATCTGAATTCTGAAGGTGTGCTCGAGAGAGCGAGATTTCTGACGAAGTGAACAACGACTATTCTAACATCGGATTAGTACATGCAGATTTCTACTATTCTTATAGTTAATAATCAGCTTTGGTAAAGATCTCATGTTGATGGCATAGTCACTCTGCTCTCAAAAAAGAAATGTTTTTGTGGATGTTCTATTTTAGTCATAAAGCTCTAGCAGCATCTCTCTAAAGTGACTTTGACTTTCGTTAGGACTAGGCCCTGTTTAATATACTATTTGCAAGGATAATTCCTTACTTTAAGTTTATAGAAAAGATCTGATTCCTCACCACCATTTCTTGAGGTTTTTATTTCTTTTATTGGCAACTTTCTCCTCTTGGCCCTCATGTCTAATTGTATACTCATGTATATATAGATATCATTACAGAAACAGTTCTTATAAGATTTCCAACAGCCAATAGTGTCATTTAGTCTGTAAATATCAATGAGGCTTGATTTATCTGCCAAGCTTCGGCAAGTTCTTGGCCTCGCCAAAGACCATGCATCTATTGGCAGAGCTATTGTACAAAACTACAATGAAAAAGCTTTTTTTGACATTGAAGTGGCAGTGGTTCGAGCCACTAGTCATGATGATTGTCCTGTTGATGACAAAACCATGCACGAGATACTCTTTCTTGTCTCTAACACTCCGGGAACGATTCCTTTTCTTGCTGAACAGATCTCACGCCGTCTAGCCAAGACAAGAGATTGCTTAGTCGCGGGTAAAACTCTGTTACTCTTTCACCGTCTCTTGCGTGGTAGCAGTCGCAGTATCGAGCAGCAATTGCATATTGCACACACCTCTGGTCATCTCCAAATAGGTTGCTGCTGGTTCATGATGAGCCCGGATCCTCCGTCCTTTGTTTTTCTGCAGAACTATGTAGCTTATCTCCAAGAAAGAGTTGGATGGATCATCAACCAAGCTGGTAAGCTTGAACCTGTAATGTCTGGTGGTACAAAGTTTAGCCGTTACAAAGAGAAATCCATGGATCTGGTGTTCCACATCTTACCAAAGTGCCAAGAGTTCATTGCACAGGTGTTGAAGTGTTCACCGGTTGATGCCTGGCCTATCGATAATCTGGTTCAAGCAGCTACCGGAAACATCTTGAAAGAGAGTTTCCAAGTCTACATGACGTATTCCGATGGGATAGCCGCGCTGGTTAGCATGCTTTTTGATCTTTCACGACCCGCAAGAGATTTAGCTTGCGGAATGTTGAGAAAAGCTTCTCAACAGATTCAAGATCTCCGCATCCTGTATGAAAAGTGTAGAGGATTTGCCGGTATGAAGAGCTTGGATTACCCATCTGTGCAAGCCATTACCATGGATCATATAGTAGCACTAGAGGAATGCTCAAGCTATGGAGGCAAAAGAGACTTCTCTGTCTCCATCAACCTAAGAGACCCAGTCACCTGCAACGAACAAAAACAAGAAACTAATTGCGCCGGTTTTTCATCTACCAGTTCTTTCTCATTACCAGTGGAGACCAAAATCAGCATGGTCTGGGTTGTTTTTGACAATGAAGAATCAGACAATGCAACAGAGAAAGCATACGAATGTTGATTATTCATCTCAAAAGGAAGTATAAGAAAGTTGCAGAAGGTCATTGCTCAGGGAGAGATTGTGTCTCTGATTCAGGTTCCAGTTAGAGAAACGATTATATAATACTGTTGTCAAATTACATAATACCAATGAGTAGTTTTTGCATGTTAACTCTTAGTGTCACAAGTGTTTAGAGCATCTGAATTTTAAAACAGATGATCATAAATACATGAAACCATTGGTATGCCTTCTGCTTCTAAAATGTAAAATTACTGCTCTATTGATCAACAAAAAAAAAAACAGGTATGTTTTGTCCGAGTATTGTTTGGACCACACAATGCAGAATAAGACAAGAGACCAAAAAATAGGCAATGGAGCACACTTCCCATTATGATAATAGGGCCTGCTTAGGAACTAGAATCATCGGCCCATTCTGTATTGGGTCTTCCTACAAAATACCAATTACCATGAAGTGTCTGGAACATTACAGAAGACCCTTGAAGGCTCAAACCAAGCTTATGTGTAGAACATTCTCAAGCTCTCTGTCAAGACTTGAGTAAAATAGAGTGTTCGAGAATCTGTAGCATTATTTACTTCATAAGACGCATTTATATATTCACTACAGACTTGCACCTAACCCTCATAGAGAAGAGAACAAACAACAAAGGTCATCACAAGAAGTAATAACCAATATCACACCCTATTTACCCCTTCTGCAAGAAAAGCCAGCAGTAGCCAAAGATGAAGCAAACCTCTCTTGCTTTGTTAGGTCTTTTCTTTGTAACTCTGTTAGTCGGAAATATCAAAACAACTGAAGGGTCCTTGCCATCTGCATTCGATACTCCTGGCAGTCTCTTATCTGAACTCTGGCGAGATCGGTTTCCTGATCCTTTCAGAGTCTTGGAGCAAATCCCATTAGGTCTCGAGAGGGATCAGAGCTTGGCTCTGTCTCCTGTGCGAGTGGACTGGAAAGAAACACCAGAAGAGCATGTGATCAGGCTTGATGTGCCAGGGATGAAGAAGGATGAGGTAAAGATAGAAGTGGAGGAGAATCGAGTTGTGAGAGTAAGCGGCGAAAGGAAAAGAGAGGAAGAGAAAGAAGGAGACCATTGGCATAGAGTAGAAAGGTCACATGGCAAGTTCTGGAGACAGTTTAGGATGCCTGATAATGTGGATTTGGACTCTGTCAAGGCCAAGCTTGATAACGGTGTCCTCACCATTACCATCAACAAGCTTTCCCAAGACAAAGTCAAAGGTCCAAGGGTTGTTGATATTGCGTTCGAAGAGGATCAAACTGGTAAAGTCAGTTCTGCTTAGACACAAAAAGAGATCTTGTTGAATCCAGGACTGTGTTTGATGTCTATAGAATCTATGTAATCTCGTCTTCTTTACGCGAATAAATTCTGTAACACGTCTTTATATTGCGTGCCTTGTTTATTGATCATTCCCAATAAAGATACATGAGGAAGTGTTAGAAAGCTTAAAGTCATAACTAACGAGTACCAATGCTTGGCGTAAGAGACTTCCTCTTCTCGAATGTTTAATTGTCCATGGACCTGTAAAATTCAAAGAACATGCAAAAACAGAGAGTAAACTAAAAGTATTTTGCTGGAATCACAGAAAGAATCACATGATAACAAGTCAGAGAGGAATTGCAAGACTTACGTTCTTAAGAAGCAACATATTGTTTCTGCAATATCACGTAATAGTTTCTCTTCTTACAGTACAACAAAAGAGTACATAACATTACCGTACCAGCTTTTGGTTATCAGTAACCTGTGGAGAGATCAATGAAAAATATTTCCAGCTTCCACAGTTTCTCTGAAGCCATATATCCGGTGTAAATCGATGCAGGAAGCTCGCTGTTAGAAAGCAGAAGCAGCTGTGTCAAGTCATATAGAGAAACTAGGACATAAAAGTGTCAGAAAGATATCAAATTGTCCAGTATCATATATATCTCCTCCGTCTTCGGATGTGATTTGTCAAGAGAGTAGAACTGATGAACCTTGTTATCGATCTCAATCTGACTCCAGCCTGGTGGTTTATAAGCATTTTGGTGCTTGATCATCTTTCTAGCTCTGCGTGCCTCTTCCCAATTACCCATCTCTCCATATAAATTTGCCATCATAGCCACATAACCTCCATTGTTGGGATTTAAAGCAACAAGATTTTTTACAGCAACTTCAGCCAAATCCAAATGGCCATATTTCTTACAAGCATTAAGCAATGAGCCCCAAATCGCTTCATCCGCTTCCATCTTCATCGTGGACATAGTTTCCAAAGCTTCATCGAACTGACCTGCCCTGCCTAGAAGATCTATTAGACAGCCATAGTGCTCAATCCTTGGCTCAATACCGAATCTTTTTTTCATCAGATCGAAATAACCTCGGCCTTTTGATACCAAACCCCCATGAGTACACGCATTGAGAAGACCGATAAAAGTAATGTGATCTGGCTTGATATCGTGACTATTCAACTTCATCATGTCCTCAAACACTGCTATGGCTTCTTCACTTCTACCATGGAGTGCAAAGCAATTGATCATAGAATTCCAAGCTGTTAAACTTTTCTTTGAACTCATTTTAAAAACAGAGCTTGCTTCCTCCAAGTTACCACATTTTCCATACAAATCAACCAAAGAATTCGAAACAAACACATCAGAAGAAAGATTACGACGATACGCAAACGCATGAATCCCTTTAGCCAGCTGAAGCGTACCAGTTTGAGCACAAGCAGAGAGAACACAAACTAAAGTAACCTCATTAGGACGAATACAAGGGTCATTAATCATCCTTCTAAACAGAGAAACCGCTTCAACAAAAAGACCATTCTGAGTACAAGCAGCAAGAATCGCATTCCAAGAAGGAACATCACGCTCAGGCATTTCTTCAAAGAGAGCAACAGCATTAAAGATATCACCAGACCTAGCATACCCAGAAAGCATAGCAGTCCAAGAAACAACATTTCTCTCAGACATTTCGTCGAACAGTTGTCTTGCAAGAGTTATATGAGAAACAGAGGAAGCGTAAGAGTGAAGCAGAGCAGTTTGAACAACAACATAGAGATGAAACCCAGATTTAAACAAATGGGTATGAACCAAAGGAGTTGAAAAAGCAGAGGAGAGATATGGTGTAGACTTAAGAACAAGTGGGTAGATAAAGTGATTAGGCCGAGGAAAAGAACGATTAACCATGAGACGAAAGAATGAGAAAGCAGAGGAAGCATGAAGAGGAAGAGAAGAAGAGTAACCAGTTAAAACGGCAGCGTATAAATGAGTATTAGGGAAAGAGAAACGATCAAAGATAAAGCGAGCGTAAGAGAGATTACAGAGACGAAGAGTACAAAAACGAAGAAGCTTAAAACAGAGGAAATGTGAATGACTTAGTCCAGAAACTATCAAAAAGGACTGAACTTGCTTCAAATGATTCAAATGTCTCGACTTTGAGATCGCGGCGGAGATGAATTGGTTCACTAACTCCTCCGCCATGTGTGACGACGGCGCGTGGAGGTAAGTGAATTGCGTTACACGTGTCCCCATGTGCTCTTCTTCCACCAAACGTGTAGAGAGAGAGAGAGAGAGAGATGGATAAAAGTGTGTGCTTCGTCTTTTTTCTCTCCGAGTCTATCGTTTTCTTTCTTCACTTTCTCCGGTTTTATCGTTTCTCTTCTTCTCCAAATTGATGGCTTTTTAAGGTTTCCTTACTCGATCTAATCTAACCTAACGCTCATTCATTAATTTCCTTCAGACAGATTCTTCCAATAACGTGTATATATATATAAAAGACACAAAAACATCATCGGACCTGATGCAGAGTCATTGATTCCGATCTTAAGTTTTCTATTTTCTCTATGTTCTGATTTGTCTGTTACACACACATACATAGACACATACAAATCTTCGTTTTTTGTTTTCAAAATCAATCAAATGTCTGGAATTTGGAGATGGAGGAATCTAAAGTCTCTAGCTTTACATGCTCGTTCGATTTCACCTGTTCCCAATCTTAATTCTTTGGAATTGGGTTCATCGCCTCGCCGTCGTATTCAAGAACGATTCAAATCGGAACAAGGCGGCGGAGGAGGAGGAGGAGATGATTTTCCGGTACCTGTGAGTCGTCGGAAGTTAAGAGCAGAGCCCAATTGTCCTCGTTGCTCAAAACAAATGGATCTTCTCTTCTCTAATCGTCAATTCCCATCTTCTAATCTTCTTCAACGTCCTGATGATTCAGATTCCTCCGGCGCCGGAGATAAAACCAATTTCCAGTCTATGAATTTCTGTCCGACTTGTAAAACAGCTTATGGATTCAACCCTCGTGGTGTCTCTCCTCTTCAAGGAACATTCATTGAGATCGGTCGTGTTCAATCTCCAACCAATGCTGCTACTTCCAAATCTACAAGGAAACAACAACATTCAAAAGATCTAAATCAAGGATTCAATTACAGAAACAAGCTTAGATCTTCCTTCTGGGATACACTTAGATCTTATGGTGCTGAGCCACCTGAGGATTGGTCTCCTCCTCCTCCTCCTCCTCCTCCTCCTCCTCCTTCTCATCCTTCTTTGAACTCTTCTCCTCCTACTACCATTCCTGTGAATGCTTCTCCTAGTACCGTGGAGACTACTTCTCCTTTACCTGATGCAGCTAATGACGTTAGTCGATGGGGTGGAGCTAGCCTTGGCAGAGACTTTCCTACTCCAAAGGAAATTTGTAAATGGCTTGACAAGTTCGTCATTGGTCAAACTCGTGCTAAAAAGGTTCTGACTTTTCACTTAACATCTAAGGATTCTGATCATGGTCGTGTGATTGATTTGTTACTTACGGCATGGTGGTCTTGATTTTGATCATAGGTGCTCTCTGTCGCTGTGTATAACCACTACAAGAGAATTTATCATACCTCTATGAAGAAAGGGTTGGTCCTCTCTCATCCATTGTTTAGTTACATGATTCGGTCACCGTTTTCAATCCGTTATGGTTTATTGTGATATATAAGGGTTTGCGTTGGAAGCTGACATTGTGGACCTTGAATCCTAGGTCAGCAGCACAACCAATTGATGATGACGATAATGTAGAATTAGATAAGAGCAATGTCCTCTTGATGGGGCCTACTGGCTCTGGTATGAGCTTTGTGTTTTTCTGATCATATTCTATTCTTTACTTCCTACACTATCCCTGCTGACTCTGTTATGATTGTTTATTTGATTCTTGAACAATAGGGAAGACATTACTTGCAAAGACTTTAGCTCGGCTTGTAAATGTTCCTTTTGTCATTGCTGATGCAACTACACTGACTCAGGTAAGATTATGATAAGCTCATGATTCTCACCACTTCAATCATTGGGCTGCAGATCTTTCAATGGTTTTTTTGGGATCCAAATTAAATATATTAGGCATAACTCCTGGAATTATGATATCGTATGTTGCTCGTTGACCCAGCTTTTGTATGGTGTCTTAACAGGCTGGTTATGTTGGTGACGATGTTGAATCAATCCTTCATAAGCTACTAACGGTACCACTTCTTATTAAGTCGCGATTAACATTCCCAGCACACTTTCCATCTTGTTACATTTTAGAAGATTCCCTTATGACTTGTAGGTCGCTGAGTTTAACGTGCAAGCAGCACAACAGGGAATAGTCTACATTGATGAAGTTGATAAGATAACGAAGAAGGTCAGTATGCAAGACATGATATCTTCTGAACTCGTTAAAAACAAGATAATTGGGCTTTATGCTTCATGGATTTTCCTTTCTACAGGCTGAGAGTTTAAATATTAGCCGAGATGTTTCTGGGGAAGGTGTTCAACAGGCACTTTTAAAATTACTGGAAGGCACTGTAAGTGGATTGCTTTATTACCCTTTGATGCATTTACTGAAATCATTCTTCACTAGACATGAGGCACTTGCATAGCTAGTTATAGAGAAGTCTCCAGAAGTGATCCTCATTAAAAATGTCTTTGCAATGTACCTCAAGAGAGGATGGAAAGGTTATTGATATGTTTGATGTATGCGACATCACATATGATTGCACATCTGTGTTACTTCTGAGGCTCTATCTCTGAAGGGTTGTGGATTCATGCTTTGCTTCTGCATTGATCGTTGGATCTTCTTCTTTTTTCCAGATCGTAAATGTTCCAGGGAAAGGTGCAAGGAAGCATCCGCGGGGTGACCATATACAGGTTTAGAGCTAGAACTTTGATCATTGACCTATATTACATTTAAAGGTGTTGTTTTCTCATATGAATCCATTACTGGATGTCCCTATGATGTACAGATAGACACAAAAGATATCCTCTTTATCTGTGGAGGAGCATTTGTTGACCTTGAGAAGACCATTGTGGATAGGTAATTCATGATGCGTCCTTTTTTTTGCAATAGATTAGGGGTTCTTTGTTTTGACTTTGATCAGGATCTCTAATGTTCTGCCAGACGACAAGACTCATCAATTGGTTTTGGAGCTCCTGTTCGTGCCAACATGGCTACCAGTGGAGTGACAAGTGGTGCAATAACTTCATCTTTGCTAGAATCGGTAAACACTACACAATTTTTGTTAAGCCTCTGTTTCCCAGTGTAATCACTTCTCATTCCTGAAAAGAGATCTTAGTTTTGGAACACCGGCTACATTTCAGGTCGAGAGTGCCGATCTGACAGCCTATGGTCTTATACCGGAGTTTGTAGGACGCTTTCCCATATTAGTTAGTTTGTCAGCTCTGACAGAGGACCAGCTCATTCGGGTAATTTAACATTCTTCAAAACTTTTAGTTTATCTTGTAGCGGATGGTGCATTTCTTTGATTGCTCATGTTGCAGCTAGTAAAATCAAAGTGAGATAGCGGTTGCCATCATCGAGGCCTTGATTTTATTGCTCCTCTCATATTTAAGGGTAGCTAATATTGCCTTTGCTTTTTGCCCTGTAGGTGCTTGTAGAACCCAAAAATGCTCTTGGGAAACAGTACAAGAAACTATTTAGCATGAACAACGTAAGCTCCCTTAAAATATACACTTGCCAAGACTTGCATGTTAAAATATTCAGTGTTTTAAGTTCAAACTTGACTTTTTGGTCCCTGATTGCATGATCTGTTGCGAAATTTCAGGTGAAACTGCATTTTACTGAGAAAGCGCTGGAGATAATATCCAAGCAAGCAATGGTGAAGAATACAGGTGCGAGGGGACTAAGAGCCTTACTTGAAAGCATTCTTACCGAAGCCATGTTTGAGGTAACTTCAGCTACCACAAATATTAATAAGGTACTATATAACTATTACCTTCACACTTCTGTTTCATTTCTTTTTTCAGATTCCAGATGATAAAAAGGGAGATGAAAGAATCGACGCGGTTATAGTAGATGAGGAATCAACAAGCTCAGAAGCTTCTCGTGGATGCTCAGCAAAAATACTTAGAGGAGACGGGGCTTTTGAGCGTTACCTCAGCGAGAACAAGTCGAAAGATGCTACAGAATCAATGGTATGACTGCAAAGATCATTTGTTGTCTGTTCCTTGATAGTCAAATATAAACTCATTGAATATCAGTCTTATTCTTGAAGCCACTGTTATGTGGCGGTTGATGTCAGATATTTTACTCTTCTGAAAGTCTTGCCTGTTTCTTTATTCAACACTTGTGTGTCTGCACTTGGCTATAATGATCAATGAAAGCTGATGAGTGTAATTTGCAGGTTGACGAAAGAGTAGGCTCGGCGAGAGCAATGAGATTGTAAAAAGAATGAGAAAAGAAGGATCTTAACATGAAGAGTTTTTTTTTGATTATTTGTAAAGAACAATAGCATTCATAAAAGTGCAAGAGGAATTATCCACTTTGTACAATAAATTGTTAGCTTACAGATTCGGAAGTTGAATTGTTTGTTACATAGAAAGAAAGAATAGGATCGTGTAAAAACAACATTTGTAACTCTCTCTGTTTCAAAATAAAAAGTGTTATTAGTTTGTCTGATCATGTTATTACCACATTTTATTCAATCACTCATCACAAAACAAATACTGAAGCTTGTGGTTGGTTTTGGTACTTTTACATCATCATCATAAGATTTTATTGCATCCCAAAATTTCATTATCTATTTTTACATTATGTACATAGTATCATTTTTTTGCATTTAGTATACGACGAATCTATCATATACAATGCATACCAAAAACAATTAGTTAAGCCTCAATCATCCATGTATCCATTTAGTTAGGACCCCAACAGCTCAAGTACATAACCGTTCTAAGTGACTCCTCAGTTTGCTTCGCCTTGTCATCATCCTTACGGCAAGCAACCGCGGTTGACGAAGAGAAGCTGTTTGCCTGAGAAGCGGATCTCATGTTGTTACGGATACGTTGATTCACCGACCGGATCAAGTATATTAGAGTTTGGTTTATGATAAACCATAAATGATTTGGTTATAATGATCTGGTATTGATAAACCAGAGTAAACCGGATCTTAGTTCTCATTGTATAAAACGAGTGTAAACAGAACAACATTGATTAATGAGAATAACAGAATTTCTTGATTTTCTCTCCAACAAACTTTCTTCTAACATGGTATCAGAGCGATGAATTCTTCAAAATTCATCCGATTCTAGACCTAAATCTCTGATTTTCTTCTTCTTCGATCAATTTCTATGGCTATTTGGCTGAGAAATTGTTGTATCGAGCAAAAATTACACTAAAATTCTTCATCTCCGTCGTATATCTTCCGTTTTTCCGATGGTGCCTGGTCGCAGAATCACTCGTCGCACGGTCCGTGTACCTACCTCAGCTCGCAGATCGGTCAATCGCGATGATTCATCTCCCGAAGGTTCACCTGTTAATCGGAATCGGAGCTCTATTCCGGCGACTATTTCTCACGACAGTATTCATTCTCCGTTCCATCTCACAAATAGTGATAATCCTGGTATTTCCATTGTTTCTGAAGTCTTTGATGGTACGAACTATGATGATTGGCAGATTGCTATTAAGATAGCCTTGGATGCTAAGAATAAGCTAGTTTTCATTGATGGAACTGTTCCGCGACCTCTTGAATCTGATTCTATGTTCAGAATTTGGTCTCGATGTAACAGTATGGTGAAATCTTGGTTGTTAAACTCAGTATCGAAGCAGATCTACAAGAGTATACTTCGTTTCAATGATGCTTCAGAGATATGGAATGATTTGATGACTCGGTATCATATCACTAATCTTCCGCGTTCTTATCAATTGTCTCAACAGATTTGGTCATTACAGCAAGGTACTATGGATCTTGTTACGTATTATACGACTCTGCGAACTCTCTGGAATGAATTGGATAGTTCTGATTGTGCTAAGCTGTGCAAACATTGTGATTGTTGTAAAGCTATGGACAAACGTGGAGATCATGCTCGAGTTATTAAGTTCTTGGCTGGCTTAAATGAATCTTATGCCGTTATTAGAAGCCAGATTATAATGAAGAAGCATGTTCCTACTTTGGCTGAAGTTTATAACCTATTGGATCAAGATCACAGTCAAAGAAGTTTCACACCAGTTCCTACTAATGCAGTGGCGTTTCATGTTTCTGCACCAGAACAAGTTCCACCTTCTGTCAATGCAACTTACAATGCTAAACCACAAAAGATAATATGCTCTCATTGTGGATATACAGGGCATACAGTGGATAAGTGTTATAAGGTTCATGGATATCCACTTGGTTTCAAGCATAAGCACAAAAATCAAGCAGATAAGAGCTCTTTTCCTACTCAGCCAGTTGTTGCTCAGTTGGCCATGACAGAGACTGCTACTAATGATTTACTCACTGGTCTTACCAAAGTTTTAACTAAAGATCAGATAAATGGGGTTGTGGCTTATTTCAATTCTCAGCTTAATACTTCAGCAGCTTCTACTTCAGGTGCTACGATTACTGCACTTCCTGGTATAGCTTTCTCTACTTCCACTATTGGTTTTGTTGGTGCTTTGAGAGCTGCAGATTCAGTATTATCCTCTGAGTCTTGGATAATAGACAGTGGAGCGACTCATCATGTTTGTCATGATAAGAGTTTGTTTATGAGTTTATCTGAAACTCTAAATAATTCAGTAACCTTACCAACTGGTTTTGGAGTTAAAATCACTGGTATTGGTACAGTTAAGCTGAATGAGTTTCTTATATTGAATAATGTGCTTTATATTCCTGATTTTAGGTTAAATCTTCTGAGTATCAGCCAGTTGACTAAGGATTTGGGATATAGAGTTACGTTTGATGAAGATTCTTGCATGATACAGGATCCTATCAAGGGGCTGATGATTGGTAGAGGAGAGCAAATTTCCAATCTATACGTCTTGGATGTTCATAGTATCATGGATTCTTCTAAGCAGATTAATTTTTCTACAAACATTGTTGTTGATTCTAGTCTATGGCATAGCCGATTAGGTCATCCTTCTATTGAGAAGTCGAATATTGTTACGGATGTACTTGGTTTTAAACAGAGGAATAAAAGATCTTTTCATTGCACGATTTGTCCACTTGCAAAACAGAAGCATCTTCCTTTCAAATCCAAAAACAATGTTTGTGAATCTGCATTTGATCTTGTTCACATCGATGTTTGGGGTCCTTTTGCAGTTCCCACACCTGATGGATATAGATACTTCCTCACCATAGTCGATGACCACACAAGAGTCACTTGGTTGTATCTCCTGCGGAACAAGAATGAAGTGTTGACTATTTTCCCTGAGTTTTTGACAATGATTGAAACTCAGTATAAGAGTAAAGTGAAGGGTGTACGATCTGACAATGCACCAGAATTGAAGTTTGCAGAATTGTTCAAGGCTAAAGGTATTATTCACTACTTTTCATGTCCTGAAACACCGGAACAGAACTCTGTAGTAGAGAGGAAGCATCAGCACATACTGAATGTTGCAAGATCACTGATGTTCCAAGCTCATGTTCCTATTGCTTATTGGGGCGAGTGTGTTCTTACAGCTGTGTTTCTCATCAATCGATTGCCTACACCTCTACTTCAAGATAAGTCTCCTTATGAAGTTCTTACTTCTAAAATACCTGATTATGGTGGTCTTCGTGTTTTTGGTTGTTTGTGTTACAGCTCTACATCCTCCAAAAACCGAAATAAGTTTCAGCCAAGAGCAAAGGCTTGTGTGTTTCTTGGATATCCATCAGGAGTCAAAGGTTATAGACTTTTAGATTTGGAGTCCAATAGTATTCATGTATCTCGGAATGTAGTCTTCCATGAAGATATTTTTCCATTTGCTAAAGAGGATTCTCCTACTCTACCTGATTTCTTCACCAGCAATGATGTATCTACAGAAGGTATCTCTGTTGTTCCTACACCTTCTATTCCTGTAGTTGTGAGTACATGTCCTACAGTTGTGAATGAGGGTACCAACAGTGTATCTCCTATAGCTACTGCTGTTCCTCCAGTGAAAGAGACTCGTAGAGTTAGTAAGCCACCTGACTATCTTAATGACTACTATTGTAACCTGTCGTCTTCTGGAATTGAATATCCATTGGCCAATTTTATGAGCTATGATGGTTTATCAGCGTCAAAAAGAGCATATGTCTGCTCTGTCACAAAGTATGCAGAGCCTACTTCGTTTGCTCAAGCTAAAAAATGTAATGATTGGTTGAAAGCTATGAATGCAGAATTACAAGCTTTAGAAGGAACAGCGACTTGGAAGATCTGTTCTTTGCCAGAAAATAAACATGCCATTGGTTGTCGCTGGGTTTACAAAGTGAAGTTAAATGCAGATGGAAGTTTAGAGCGTTACAAAGCTCGTTTAGTTGCCAAGGGCTACACTCAACAAGAAGGAGTTGATTTTGTCGATACTTTCTCACCTGTAGCTAAGATGACAACGGTTAAGACTTTGTTGGCGGTAGCAGCAGCAAAGAAATGGAGTTTACACCAACTCGATGTCTCCAATGCCTTTTTAAATGGGGACCTTGACGAAGAAATCTACATGACATTACCCCCAGGCTATACATCTAAGGAAGGTGAAGCTCTACCACCTAATGCTGTCTGTAAATTACAAAAATCTCTTTATGGATTGAAGCAGGCCTCAAGGCAGTGGTTTCTGAAATTCAGTTCCACATTAATGTCCTTAGGTTTTCAGAAATCACAGGCTGATCATACTCTTTTTGTCAGAAATGTGAATGGAAGGTATGTTGCAGTTCTTGTGTATGTCGATGATATCATTATTGCAAGTAATGATGATGATGAAGTAGTTCAGTTGAAAGAAGATTTACAAAAAGCTTTTAAGCTAAGAGATCTCGGTCCTATTCAGTATTTTCTGGGTTTGGAGATAGCCCGTAATAGCTCAGGCATTTCTCTTTGTCAAAGGAAATATGCCTTGGGTTTACTAGAAGAGACTGGTCTGCTTGCTTGTAAACCGTCTAGTATTCCAATGGATCCCAGTATTAAACTTGTTTCAGATGGTGATGAACCAATGATGGACGATCCTGCAGCTTATAGGAGATTGGTTGGGAAAATGATGTATCTCACCATAACTAGACCTGACATTACATATGCGGTTAACAAGCTTTGCCAGTTTACCTCAGCACCTAAGAATTCACATATGAAGGCGGCTCAGAAGGTTCTCCATTATGTGAAAGGTACTGTGGGAAATGGTCTTTTTTATTCTGCAGACTGTGATTTAGTTCTTCAAGCTTATACAGATGCAGATTGGGCATCTTGTCTTGATTCTAGACGATCTACATCTGGCTTTTGTATGTTCTTGGGGACCTCCTTAATCTCCTGGAAATCCAAAAAGCAACAGACTGCTTCACATTCATCTGCAGAGTCAGAATACAGAGCAATGGAGTTTGCTGTTCGGGAGGTTGCTTGGCTTGTCAACTTGTTAAAAGAGTTTCATGCACCTCAAACAAAATCTGTGGCTTTCTTTTGCGATTCAACAGCTGCGATTCACATTGCCAATAATGCTGTCTTCCATGAACGCACAAAGCACGTTGAGCTAGACTGCCACATTGTTCGTGACAAGGTAATAAGCGGTTTGATCAAGACATTACATGTCAAGACTGATCAACAGCTTGCTGATGTTTTCACAAAACCTTTATTCCCTACTCAGTTTAATGCTCTTGTTAGCAAGATGTCACTTAAATCCATTTACTTGCCATCTTGAGGGAGGGTATTAGAGTTTGGTTTATGATAAACCATAAATGATTTGGTTATTGTGATCTGGTATTGATAAACCAGAGTAAACCGGATCTTAGTTCTCATTGTATAAAACGAGTGTAAACAGAACAACATTGATTAATGAGAATAACAGAATTTCTTGATTTTCTCTCCAACAAACTTTCTTCTAACAAAGTAGTTCCACCGGCACATGCCTAGTTGGTCCTTGGACGCTTCCACGGCTCCGATGCTTGCAGCCACTAACCATGCTTTACTCGTTGAACTCATCTTTTGATTGGAAAGAAATTCAGAGACACTCTTGTAACTTTTGAATTGTGTGTTGTAAAAGTTTACCGATGAAAGAAGAAGAGATTTGATGGTGGTTTCTTATATAATATGACAAGGGGATAAAATTAGCCGCTAGTAAGAGTCAAAACCAGATGCTTTCTCCAACTGGTTTGGTGTAGTTACCCGCATGAGAACAAAATGAATTAGGGTCATTATTGACTTTTCAAAATTCCTGGATTACCGCAAGCAAGTACCTTCATGCGCACCTGGTTTCGGCCAATATGAACAACTACATTAAGAACTTTAGCTATTAAAAGGATAAAAATTGCCAACATAATAACGAAAAAAAGACGTTAATCATGCAACATATAGGAATTGAAAACATATGACTAGCTTAACAAGTATGGCATGATTGGTTTTGTGAAAATACTTTTTGGTAGCTGTGCATATTTGTGGAGGTTTCTCGAATGTGAATATAAGATAATCTCTCAAATTAAAAATATTTTGTTGGATGATTTCGACAAGAAACTATTTTCCTTCACAAATTAGATAATTATTGAATATATCCATCTTCGACACACATTAGAATTGTGAATACCTTTACCAAATAGGATTGTGAAGTTCATATCTAATATAAAACAATTCTCGAAAGTAACATTCCCTATGACACCTTTTTTCTTCTGTCTCCAACAATGCCTCTCTTTCCGTACCACGGTGAAGGATTGGCATATATGGTGTCTTGTGATACAAGAAACGAAGGAATGGTAATGAACACTGAAGATACTCCTCCATCCTCTCCAAAAACGCCATCTCTTTTCTTGTCAAAGTGGAGATTTGGCCCCGGCCCGTGTGGTTCCTTCTGCCCCAAGAAACGAAAGAGAAGTTAGTCTCCGACACTTAAGAAACATCTCAAGGGGCATAAAGGATGCAAATAAAGTATCAACAGAATTAAATCTCTCCATTGATTCTGAAGTACTTAGTCTCGCACACTTGAGAAACATGTCAAGGGAAGAGAGAGGCATAGAGAATGTATCAACAGAACTAAGTGCCCCCATAGATCAAGAAAACACTCACTAATAGAGACGTTGGAGGTCAAACACGGCTTCTTATACCTAAAGAATCCGTGAATGAGCATATTCTAAAATACTTCACAGAAGAAGAGATCAATTTCGTTGACAATCATGGGTTGAAAATCATCGTGTTCGATAGCGAAAAAGGAACTACGCATGAGTTGTGTTTCAAGAGATGGAATTCAGCTGGAAGCTACGCATCGTGATCAAGATCTGATATGCTTTTTAGGAAACAATGAAGAAAGAGAAACCTTCTTGATGGTCTTGTTGAAACAATTTTTTCATCCAAGGATGAATTCATCGTTGTGATCCATCACGTCTTCTAGGAAATTGGCATCATCCTTTGTCTTCTTTCTGACATGAAAACTTGAAGTTTCAATCTTTTCGAATTTTCTGGATCATGCTTGTGTGAATTGTGATAGATGTAATGTTTGCATGAGATATGCTTGGTGCCATGAACCGTTGGCTCGTGAAATACATTGCATTTGAGTATCGATACAATTGCGTATATGAATACAAATGAAACTATGAGAGACTGATGCATGCTTATCGTTTTCCTTTGATTATTTTCTACAAATGGTTGATCATTTAAGAAAGACAAATTTTAAGGAAGAGTCGCAAGTTGACAACGATGAAGAAAGATCATATGCCTTGCCCGTCGTACGCCTTCCATCTTTCTATCACCACCTTGTACTCCTCATCTCTTCTCCTCACCTGAAAACCATAATTTATAAAAATCGAATCAGTATCTTTTGATCTCAAATAATCAATCATTATGTATATTATCAAATGATATTGTTGAGTCTACTCTATATACCTCAACCATGGGATTTCTTCCGCGAAGCAACATATCAACACTTTTTTCAGTCTGGACGAGAGTAAAAGAGGACTAGTTTTGTTGATACATTTGATCTTTGATATAGAATGACTGCAAGCAGAGACAAGAAAAGATCTGTGAAACAGGAGGCTTACTTGATGTGCAATCCAATAATCTCTTTCTCTCATCTCGATCAAGAAATAAAAAGTCGGTGGAGCTTTCCTCTCGAGAATACTCTTCTGAGTCCTTCTCGCCCTTGCTTCTTCATCTCCAAGAGTGACAGTCTCAATGCCCCCAATCTACAACCAACGATGAGAAGGTAAAAGAACATGAGAAAAACTTTGTGAAAACTAGAAGCAAGGAGTAACATTAAATCAGACAAGCGGTGTAGAAACTATTACCAAGTCTGAAAGAGTAGGATTCTTTATGATGTTCTGTAGCTGCTCTCCATGAGCAGTGCCAATTAGCATCACTCCCCTTTCAGCAATGGAACGACAAGCAAGCGCTTCAGCTTCTGTGCCAATCTCATCAACGATGATCACTTGAGGCATATGATTCTCTACTGCCTCAATCATCACTTTATGCTGCAACGATGGCTTAGGTACTTGCATTCTACGCGAACCTCCAATAGCTGAGTGTGGAATATCGCCATCTCCTCCTATTTCGTTGCTTGTATCAATAATCACCTAAAAAACGCAACACATACTTAATCACTTAAAAATGCAGAACCTTCAGGGTAAGAAAAATTAGGGATAGGCAAGACTCACCACTCTTTTCTGGAATTCATCAGACAAGACACGAGCAATCTCCCGCAAAACAGTGGTCTTACCAACACCAGGCCTATAGTTGAAGACGATCAAATCATCAACACTGAAGTAGAATGAAGCATAAGAGTAGGGTGTAAAACAAGAAACAAGTACCGTCCAACAAACAAGATGCTTTTGCCATAGTGAAGAAGATCATAAAGCATGTCAATGTGACCACTCACAGCTCTCCCAACCCGACAAGTCAAACCGACAATAAAGCCTTTACGATTACGAATAGCTGATATCCTGTGCAATGTACCTTCTATTCCAGCCCTATTATCAGCCCCAAATTCACCTACAAGCTCTTGAGCATCCTCTAACTCTTCCATAGATACCTAAGCTAGTGTTTTCATGGATACAAGATTCCAGATTTAAACACACAAAACACACAGATCAAAGACACAAATACCATAATTAGTTTTACCTCGTTGTTCCTAAGATACTGGCCTCCAGGTTCTCCAAGATAACGTGCTTCAGGTGGTCTTCCCAAATCCATAATCACCTAATCAAGATTCAAAATGTTTTCATTCCATTTTTAGCCTTTAAAATTGTTCATCACAAAAGAAATTGAAGAGTAACAACAACCTCTACGAGCTGGTTTCTTCGAGAATCGTTCAGGAGACGATGACGAAGATCTTTTGGAAGAATCTAAGAATTAGGCAAATATTCAGATTCAAGTGTAGAGAACAAAGACGAACAGAGAGTGATTTTACAGTAAATTAGACCTCAAGAAATGCGGCGAGATTGTCGTCGACGATCATGGCGGAGGAATCTGGAAGAGAAAGGGAAGCGACGGTGGAGAAAACCGGAAAACGCCGGCGAATTGGGGAAAAGAGACGACAAGCTCCGCCGCCCCATGGGACGCACACACCGGCCATAGTTCTCGATAAGGAAGATTTCTCAAAACCACCACCAAAATTATTAAATCTCTGGGCCTTTGGGCCTTGTTGGGCTTTGAGCTATCGAGAACTTTCACTGATCAAAATCAAGCCTACGTTAATTATCTCAACCTATAATTTACACTAGATTTTAACCCGCGGTACACCGCGGGGCTATGATTTTTTAAAAAAATCGGCATTTAAATGGTTAGGTAGATTATCTAAAGATATAAACTATAGATTACAAAATGTATATATAGATATAAGTAAATATTAATTCGTGTACAATTAGCATGTTTGATGTTTCAAAGTTTAAAATACAGAAACGAAAACATATAGTTCATTAAGTGTTGATGTATTTTTTTTTTTTAAAATATTGTTTTATGTTTGTATTGTGCATTTACATATAATTGTATTGAAATTATAGTTTTAGTTTTGTAAATTTTAAGAAACTATTAATTTTTTATGTCCTTATTATTGTTGCATACATAAATAATTAAACAGTTTAGTATATATATATATATATATATATTTATTTTTTGTGCAAAGAAATTTAAATTGGTGAAATTGTTTATTTAATTATGTTTTCACATATAAATTTTTATTTACATCTTTTGGAAGAAAATGTGAGTCTTTAAATTTATAAAAATGCGAATTAAAAGACAAATAACAATGTTGAACATATATCTTTAAATATTAAATAAATGTGTATACAAATATAACCGCGTCCAAACATTAATAGACATGTCCAGAAACACGTAGTTAGAATTTGGTACACTTTGACGAACCAATCCGCAAACCTGTAAAGCACCGCATTCGTAAAAACATCAAAAAAATATAAAATAAATAAAATAACACAGAAGTGTAGGACCCGTTTAAAAAGAATCGTTTAAAAAAGACACGGATCTTTTGACCAGGATTCGTCTAAGTTACTTAGGCTCAAAATATATATTTTTGTCTAATATATAAATAAATAAATTGTTTTCGTTTGGAATTTAATCAATTTAAATTAGTTGTTGTAAAAGTAAAGAGATGTAACTATATATAACATTTTGTAGCATATAATAAATGCTGGGACAATTTTCAAGTTGATTAATTCCAAACTAAGATTTAAATATACTCCCTCCGTTTAATAATATAAGTCGTTTTAGATAAAAACACACCGATTAAGAAGATCTACTTTTTAAAAGTTCAATCAATCATAAAAGAGCCTGCATAATATAAATAATCATATAATATTAAAATTATATATAATTTGCATTGAAACTCGAAAACGACTTATATTGTGAAACAAAAAACTTTATTCAAAACGTATTATATTATGAAACGGAAGGAATATAATTTATGAAATATATTAATAATTCTAAGGTGTGTGTGGACAATTTTCGTTTACTCACCAAATCTAACATTAATGTTATTACTCATCATAGGACATACCAAAAAAAAGGTTTGCACCAAAAAAAAAAGATGAAGCACATTAAAAAAAAAAGCTGAGAACAAAGGGAAAAATCGGTGTGTGCGGCTTCTGCTTTGGTACGTTCTCTGCTTTGGTACGTTCTCTGCTTTTCATCTCTCATCTTCTTCACTCGCCTCTCGATCCCTGATCTTCAAATCTGGGTTTTCAATTTTCGGATTCAATTGTTTCTTCGACTGGTTCAGAACCTCTCGGTTTCTTCTTAGTCTCTAATCTGATCTGATTTCCGGAGAGATCAGTTTCTCCATAATTTTGATCTCAATTTCATGGTGTTCAACTTCTTTTGTGTGATCCTTCATCCAGTCGAGACCCTAAACTTGTTTTGATCTAATTCTCTAAGCCCTTGCTTATCAACTCTGATCTTGTCTTTTCGCAATGGTGGTCTGCAATACGGAAAGGTATGTTCATTCTTCTGTTTTTATGTCACTCGTTAACAATTTTCAAATTCTTTAATTGTAACCATTTGATGATATGGGGGAGATTTTTATAGTCTGAAATTAAAGTTCATGCGCAACATTTCATTTGCAAGTAGAAACATTATTATAAACTTAACTGTGATTGTTTATATTTTATTAATGAAAGTGATAGACTATAGTTTTAGTGAGATTTGAGAAACTGTACCTGAGAAAGTGATTGACTATAGGTTGATGCAATTTTATCAGCCTGACAATTCAAATATACAAAATAGAGAAGAAACAATTCAGAAAAACAAAACAGAGAAGGAAAAAAAAATTGAGAAATATTAGAAAAGATATGATAGTATAAAATAAAATTTAGGGATCGATTGAACCATTTTTCATCCGCTAGCAAAACCATCTCAAGAGTTTCACCAGTGTTTTTTTCGGGTATTGACGCCAGGAATGCAGGATTTTGACTTGAATCCTTCAAGATGTCTTGTAGGAGCGGACGTCTTTGAGAAATGCAAAAGTAGCCATTGTGAAGAGAAATAAGGTATGTGTAATGTGCTAAGTAATTCGTAACTTTGTGTTTGGTGATGTAGAATGGCGTTTAGGTGTAGATTATTTATAGGAAAAATTAATTAGGTTAATAATTAGTAGCCATTAATGAGAAAATATTACATGAATCAAGATATTAGGGAGGTAATCATTTAATTTGTTCGTTTTTTTGGAATATACCAGTATTATGCGTTTTTATGAGACATAAATAAGTTTCTTTAAATTGATTTTGTGGAGATATTACAGGGAATAATAAATCTTTCAAATTGAATGTGGTGAATTATGAGAAATAGCATAGATCTCGGAATATTTATTAGGCATTGAAAACGAACTGATTTGAATGGGAAAGAGTGATTATTTTGTCTATGAAATCTCTATTGTTAGAGATTTTGTTGATGTGTATTATTCAAAAATGGTATGTTGATAGTAATTAAATGATAGAAGAAATCTTGGATTGTAGAGTATAGAAAATATTCGGCGACAAATTTTGGAGATATTTGAGGGATTGGTTGTTTTTTTCCTAAATCTTTTATTTGATATTTTATCACTAATTAATATCGTTTTAATTATAATTTGACAGAAAATAAAAGAGATCCGATTGGGATATTTCCGGGTCAGCCGAATGCCATAAAAACCGACCCACCAGTGGCAGAAGTTGTAAATACTTCCCAACCCCAGGATTTATTTGCTAAAAGTCATCCAAAAATGTATATATAGATTTCAAAAGAAATTTGGATACCTTGAAGAGGAAGGGAGACGATGAATCCTGCGGTAGGGAAACGATAAGGCTACCGAGAAATTTTTATCGTGCAGGGTTCAGTATATAAGCAACGAGTGGATAAATCGGAAGGTTTCGATATGGGGGAGGTTCGACAAGTCTATGCACTTTTGATGGACCGTTCCGGGCAAACCAAATGTGATGATAGGTTTCCTTGTTGTGGTTTAGTCACATTTTATGCTAGGATGGGACTTCATCGTTGAAATTTGTTGCGCGGGACAAATTTAAAGTTGATACATACGCCTTAAGGAATACGATATGTCAATGGGTTCGGCTGCTGCCTCTTACTATCCAAATGAATGAATATCCAAAAAACAAACAAAAGTTCATTTAGATGCTCCATCCAAATGAATATCCAAAAATTGAAACGAACAACATTCAGATGAAGCATTTGGATGGAACATTTAGATGGACAATCTGGATAGAAATGCGAGATGATCAAACGAACAGGCCCTATGTAACTTTGGTTGCCATGGATCCATCTAGCTGTTGGTTTTAACTTTTTAGATTAAAGTTGATTTTGACGTTCTATATTACAACAACTCATTCATTAGTGACCACCGGTTCAAAATTTGACACTTAGAAACATTCCAATTTTGTTTAAAAACCTCTATTTAAAATTAAAAATAGTTTTTTGTTTTGGGTAGTTACACACATCCTTTTGGATTCTTATACAATAACAGAACAAATCAACTAGTTTAAACGTCGATTCTTATTAACTTTATATCAGTGAAGCAATTTGCTTCCAATTACAAAAAGAAATAAATGGATACATGTAATCAAAGAACAAGCATACAAACTTACGAAAAGATGCATATATATAACATTATCAGCATCTATTTAAAACAACCCGAGAAATCCATTTTCACCGCGCAATGAAAGCAGATTCGAAGGTGGCTGGACCGTGGACGGATTGTTGTTTCCTTCATCTTCAAACCTCATCGCTCTAGACGAGTCCTCATGAATCCCCATTTGACAGTTCACCATTCCCCATTCACCAACAGTTTTGCACGTGCCAACCTCAACCCCTGATGGCTCACACGCTTGTTGGTACTCGCTTTCTCTTGGAAGAAGAGCCAATGAATAGTCATAGCCAATTGAAAGAGGCTTGTGATGAGGCTGAAACATTGGTGGTTGAGGGTATTGATGAATACCAATCTCTTCAGGCTTGTTAAGCTCAAACATTGAGATTCCTTGGTAAGAGCTTTCTCTGCGAATGAAGCTACGAGCTTCAAGCCTATTGTTGTTAATGCTTGAGCTAACATCATTCCCTACTTTGAATAGATTTTTCTTCTTGAACACTCTACATACAACCCATCCATCTTCCTGCATTATATAAAGATTGGCTTATTCAATAAAAATTGGACTGGCTTTTACAATCTTCTAATGAAGAAGAGAGATATATACATACACTAGGGTCATCGTCAGTGTCTTCAATACGGTACTCGTGCATGATCCAATCGGTCTTTTGGCCATGAGGAGCTCTTCCTTTGTAGAAGACAAGAGTCTTCCTCATGCCTATCTTCTTGTAACAATTTCTTATGCATTTGTCACGTCCTGTCGCCTTCCAGAAACCCGAGTGGGTTGCCCGGTTCGTCCTTGAACCTGTCGGATATTTCCTATCCTTGTGGCTGAAGAAATACCACTCGTTTTGCGGCGTTGATCCTATTTTGCATCTATCTGCACGAAAAAGAAGAAGCAATGCATATGTATATATAGTAACTAACTAGAGAATTGGATCATAAACTTTAATCAATCAAAGAACGTACCATGTAAATCCCACGGCTCAATCTTGTTCAAATCAACCTCCTTGATGACTTCCATCTCAAACTTTTCATAAGAAATCTTCTTCTTCAAGTAGTAATGAAGAAGTTCTTCGTCCGTTGGATGAAATCGAAAACCGGGCGGTACACCTCCGTTAGACGAACTCATTTTCCGGTTTAATATGATCAATGTTTGTTTGAGTACAAAGCTATACAATAGAGCTCTTAATTACAATGATCTGCCTTTTGTTTGAAGCACTCTTCTTGTTCTTGGTTTATATAGACCTAGAGAAAATCCTAAGAGATGATTACACACGTAATCGTCAACTCTATTATCGCAAATTAAATAATCAAATATTTATAGTATGTTTGCGAAGAAGTTGACGGCCGGTGACAACGCCGCCGGAGAAGCTTAAAAAGCTATCGTGAAACTGAAAAATCAAGACTCTTCCACAGCATTTAAGCCTTATTACACTTGCGTGAACGTTGACCCTAGCTACTTGATTATTCATTTATAAAACAAACGATCCCGGTGAATTTGAAAATATAATTATAATTATCATTATGTTATGTTATTAATTAATAACGAATCCGTGTTGATTTTAATTGCTCCGTAAGCAAAGGTTTTCGTCAAAGAAAAAAATTTCATATGGGGAACTCCAATTCTGATTATACGGTCCATATTTGTGTAATTAAATGTGTGAAGTTTGGTTAGCAATTAATATGAATCTTATTAAATCGACTAGTTTTACTCGATAGTTAGATAAAAGAAAAGGGCATGCATGCAGTACAGTGGACAATGGGGCTAATTGACCAATTGTATTTTGTGACCTTTGAGATATTTTCTGATTTTATTTGGTTTGTCTAACTTTCAAGCATTCTATCTGTCTAATTCCTTGATTTATTGTTCATTGACTTAAGCAACCAATATATAAATGGATTTATGAACTCAATGGAAATGGGATTTGAAATTTGAGATAATTTAACAAGAGAACGAACGAGTAGGTAATTAAAATTCCGTGCATGCATCGCACATGGGAAGAATTGTGGTGATGGTATTGGTATATGTACGTTGACATACGGTTAATTTAATTCTAACAAATGACTAAGGTGAATTTAGAGATTTGAGCTTAAGAGCATCTTCAACTCATCTCTATATTTGCCTCTAAACTCTATTTTAGAGATAAATCTATTCCAACCCACCTCTATTCTCACCTCTAAAATAGAGATCTCTATTTTTTTCTCTATATATAGAGGTGAGAATAGAGAATCTCTATTTTTTTTCCCTATAAATAAAGTTAAACTTTTTAGAGGAAAAAATAGATAAACACATTGGAGTAAAAATAGAGAATACTTACTTCTATTATAGAGATAAGTCTAAAAATAGGGAAATACATTGGAGATGGTCTAATTGCGTAAGAAAATTCTAATTATTCTCTCGAAATTAAATGATCTACGTACGTTATGTGAAAGTAAATAAGTGAAATGAATCTGTAAGAATATATTTAACTAATAAATATATATATTTTTTTTCAACAGCTTTATTGGATTGGCTCAAATTAGCCAATGTGTAGGAATATTGTTTATATAAGTAGAAAGATGCGGTAAGGTACGAAAAATTAGTTGTCAAAAATAAATATTTCTTCCGTTTTAAATTAGTTGTCGTTTAAAATTTTTTCACGTTTATTAAGAAAACATTCAATTTTTCTGTTTTACCCCTAACTAATGTATTGTTTGATGTGATACGATCAATTAATAAGTTAAGAGAGTATAGATAAAATTAGAAAATCTGTCAAAAATATGCATTGAAAACCTAAAACGACAACTAATTTTTTAAAAAATTAACTTCTAAAATGACAACTAATTTAAAACAAAGTGAGTAATTGAGACGAATTTTGTTTCTTTTTTTTTTTTATAAAATTCTAACAAAAACAAAAATTAAGCCAAACAAGACGGCCATGTTCTTTTAACAGTCGTACGACTCTAACTAGCGACTGCCTTTTAAACGACTGTGTTTTGGCTTTGTTTTTTTTTTTTTTAAGTTGGGTTGTGTCTTACAAATCTGTAAATTGGAGAAGAAAATAAGAAATAGTACAGATCTGAAAATGACAATTTGATTTAAAAATCAAGCGACTGTCGCTACTTCAATAGAAAAGCTTGGGTTTGGTCGCTGATTTGTGCAGCGATTCCAAATTCTTCAGATTCAATCGCAGCGACAGAAATTAGGAGAGATGAAGAGGAGGTGATCAAGAAGGGATGGAGGAGATGTAAAGGCCATTTTTCTGATAGTCAGTCGCTGTCGCTGCGATTAACGTCCGAACAGGGCCGACCTCTTTAAAATACATGCGACTAAAAACGAAGATCCGCGGTTACTTTTAGACAATGGTGGGAGTTGTTATCCTATTAACGTGTACATAGATATTTAAACTTCACCTCCTGATTAGGTTTATTATTGCGTATGTTCTAATCGTCAGTTTTGTCAACTCTTCTAGCCGTCAGTTTTGTCATCTCTTCATCTATTAGACTATTACCATGGCTAATACTCCTACTTCCTTGTATATATAGACGACATAATTGTCACTGGAAGCAGTAACCAAATAATTCAACAATCTCTCACTTGTCTTACAGAACGCTTCTTAGTCAAAGGTTTAAGCGATATTAACTATCTTTTTGCTTCGGAGTCATACGTTCCACCAAATTTTTATACCTCATGCAACGTAAATATATCATCGATCTTCTCACAAAGATTGGGATGATTAAAGCCAAACCAACTTGCCCATACGGCTGTAGTTTAATGGTAAGAGAGAACTGAGGAAATGTTGGAAGGAACTAACCTAACCTAGGTTCAATCTACCTTGGAAACAAAAATCACATTTGTGTGGTAAGTCTGAACTTGAGTTTTGACCCAAGCAATTCACATGGTATATGAGATTAGACTAACTGGATACCCCCGGGCACTGGCGGACCAAGGATTTTATTTTACCCAAGTCAAAACATAATTAAAAAAATTATCATTAATACTAAAAAAATCCAACAAAAAGTTCGTCCCAAACAAAAAAAACATCCAACAAAAGGTTCATCCAAAAAATAAAAAAACGTCTACAAAAACATTCTACGATCTTTCATGTCCTGAAATCTTTTCATCAGAGTTTCATTTGTTTCTAAATTCTAATTTAAAGTAAATGAAAAGTCACGTTCTCCTTAATTCAACTCAAAGTTGGCAAAGTATAATAATTAGGTTAAAGATATGGGCCAACTTTGTTTCTAAATTCTAATTTAAAGTAAATGAAAGAAATATAAACCTTCTTTTATTATGGACTATTGGGCTTCCTACGTACAACATAAAATATGGGAGGGTCAAATTATTAAGATTATGTCATTAAATCAAATTAAGCGGGTTTATATGCAAAACCTATATATATATACTTAAGAAATTTTTAAAAAATTGGGCATGTCAGCTGACCACCCATTAATACAAGTGGGTCCGCCCTTGCCCCCGGGCATTAGTCGGAAAGCATTCCCAACTTGGGGTTAGACAGTGTGGTAATCCAACATCTAGGTGTTGGCTACGAGTCCACATGGTAACACTTCGGTGCGTTCTCCCGAACTGACCGGATCAGCCGATCAGGTATATAAAAAAAAAATGCAGACCAACTTAAAAAAAACATATGCGCCTTCACCAAAGCTCATATTTAATTACCTCATGAGAGATACTTGATGATCTAATCGAATACCACATTGTTATTGGCAGTCAATGTGACTATTGTCACTTCGGCTAACCCAAAAGATGAGATTTTAGTACAATACCTTCGTTTTATGCCGTGGACCGCCGTTTACAATTTATGCATCACTAAAACAAAGACCATTGCAAAGGAAGAAGCGAGTGGTAGTATAAATGGTTGCATCTTCCTTCAACATGGTAACCGTATAACAATATATCGGTTTTGGATGCAGATAATACATACGACTTCGCTTTCACCATTTCATATATCATAAACTTCGATGGACATGCTATATTATGGTTCTAAAAGAAGCAACATGAAGTTGCTTGGTCTTCCACAAAAGTCGAATATCATTTGGTTGTTAATGCCTCATCGAGATTGTGGTAGATCTCGCTCCGCGTCTCTCCTTCAAGTTTACTTCAGTCGTCTTTCTTTTCCGTTGTAATTTTTATTTTTCTGTCTCTTGTTCCTGTGTTAATGGGTAGCTTTTGTAACATTAGTTAGCTTGTAATTTTCCTTTGGAATAAAATCTTCACATTAAAAATATATATATATATATATATATACATGCCATTTGTTGCAACAAAGTCGGCACAACTTACCTTAGCGTCAATCTCATGTTCCACTCTTTACACAAAACATATCACCCTTTACTATTATTTCGTTCGAGACCACATTTCTTACATATCTCGCATGTTCCAACCAAAAAACAATTGGCTGACTATCACACAAGAATGGAGTCTCCAAATCCTTCCATCTTGAAGAAGTGTATAATAAATAAATATGTATATAGTTAAAGACGACCTAAGGGTAATCAGAAAAATCCCTAATACTACTTATAAGTAGACCTAAGTATATCTATATGTTCTCCTTGCTACTACTACTTACTATTTACTAAATTAGTCATTCATTAAGCATTGACCTCTATAAAGGTCCCCAATTCTGTCAAATAATTGCAAGTTTGAAACTTTGAAAGCCAACATTTCTTGTTGGATCAATAAAAAAGTAGTTCGCTAGTCGATAGGACCGGCATTTACCAATTGTAGTAATTTAATTACTTTAGTTGGTATGGTTTAAACAGAAACAAAATTCATCAAATCACATCATATTTACTCTTTTAAAATCAGTCCTTTAGATTTCTCTCCTAAAACAGAGAAACTAAACGTTGATTCAACAGACTACAGAGTCTCTCTGGCTAAAAACTAAACGTTGCTTCCTGGGAAAACTATAAAGTTAACAAATTTCGCCACGAAACCACAGAGTCCTCATCCTCATGAGTGTTTTGTGAGCTGCGATGATCGTGTGATTTCAAATCCCTAACTTTTCGAAATTCCCAAATAATCTGAGTGTGACCCATTAATCCATGGCGATGTCTCTCCGTTCCACTCCATTCATCTCTGTCCGTACAAGAAAAAGCTTTAACCTTTCTCCAAGAATTCTCGCCCTTAGAGTATCATGCTGTGCTGGTGGGTCTTCTCAAAATCAGAACTTTTCTACAGATTCCGAGAACAAGAGATCATTCGCTGTTGCCACCGGTGAGCTTTTCATCGGAATTGCGTCGAGACTTTTGAAGAGTTCTAATCAAAAGACGCCGCCGATTGATGATGGAGATAGAATAGCAAGTGTAATTGAAGATGAGATTGAGCCAGCGATGATATGGGAACAAAGGATTAAAGATGTTGAAGCTGAGAAAGAGAGGAGAGTCATTACAAGTCCTGGGTTTAGTTTCTCTGCTGCTGGTCTTTTGTTTCCTTATCATCTTGGAGTTGCTCAGTTGCTTATTGAAAAGGGTTACATAAAGGTGC